TATTAAGTTACGTGACGTTACTAGCATGTAATCACGCTTAAAAAGTGGTGTTCGGAGACTTTTGGTGACCCTCTGTATATCCATTTCAACATACAGTTCATGAGTTAACAGGAAGGGCTGCAATTTTTCAACAGGATAATGCACCTATTCATACCGCGAAAATAATCAAGGATTGGTTGAAGAAGAATAAAATTGTGGTTATTGATTGGCCGGCAAATTCTCCCGACCTAAATCCAATAGAAAACATCTGGAAGCAGTTAAAAGATAATATCCAGAGTTGTGAGGTTTTCCAAGAACTGTGGGTGAACTTAAAGTTGCACTAAGTGAAGAATGGGAAAATTTGGATTGCTCCATTTTTGAAGAGGTTGTTGCTTCAATACCACAAAGAATAAATGCAATACTAGAAGCTAGGGGAGGGCCAACACATTATTAACCATTTTTAGTAATTATTTTTATGTGAATTTTAATGAAAGTTAATAAAGTTTTGCCATTTTTAACATTAATTTTAAATCGGGCATCACTTTCGGATGCTACTGTACATGCATGTATTTGAGCTAATTGTATATTTTATGGTAAATATTAATAATATCTATAAGTGATCACAATTGTTGTGACAAAAAATTTATACTTGTATTGTTTGCTTAGAAAAATCTTTACGATCAGGAGAAAGTAATTAATGTGATGGCCAGCGAGCATCACGGTTTAATTGAGGTTAAGTCTACTACAGTTCACCAGTGGTTAAAAGTACACAAGATACATTTAACTCTCAATAATAATTCTACAATGTGATACAAATTTAGTATTGTGAAATGAGGATTTATTTACTGCTACTAGCTATAACATAAGTAAGGAAGTGATTAACCAGTAATTAGTAGATTTGGGTTCACCGCAAGGGGGCAAAAGTGCTTAAGGTAATAATAGACTGCATTGCACGTCGCAGTACCTTCCAAATCGAATCATCACTAGGGTTAGAGGCTGGGTTTAATTCCCAGGTGAATTTGACGCTATGGGTACAAAACCACCATCTATGTAAAGGACCCGATCCCACGGTCTCGGTAGTCATCAATAGGGTAAAATCCTATAAATTAGATTGGTAAAAATAGGGCCTGACAAGCTCTATGGTTGAAGTGAGC